AAATTTGGGTTCTCTTCTTTTAATTTTTACTTAGTTTCTTGGAGATTGCTTCGTCTTTCGTCCTTGGCTGTTACTTCAATGCCGTTGCAAAAGCACCAACTGCTAATGGCCAACGGAGCTCGTATCAAGATCACGCTAAAAGTGTTAATGCTAATCAAATCAGTCACTTGTGTTTTTAAGACATATTTATCAATGTGAATCAAGCTGGAGCAGGTGCTTTTGACCAATCTCTGTTCCACCTTTCTATTTGGATATCTCGAGAGTAACGCCCACCACAAGGACTTCAATATTATAATTTAAAATAAATATTATACACTTCACACATTTCAGATATTATAGGATATTCGTGTGAACTGCTATCTCGCTCCAGCGTGGGTTGAATATGTAGTATATAGGCCGGCGGAAAGGTTTTTTGTGATCCGACTGCTAAACTGAAATAATACTGTACGTACTTATCAAACGTGTTGGTGCGGGCAAATTTATTCAAACTAGTATTCTGTTCAGACGTGCGACAATACCTGGCTATAGTTATGTGCCGTAGTTTCTTTCTCGAAGTCTTCTCAAAACACCTCTAGATGCAGTGTAAACTCTCAACGAGGCATCTAGATCACGTAATAATCTTCAATAAACAGCCTTGCATCACAATGGCTATGCAGCTAGTTAAGAGACCGAAAGCTTTGCTGCCTTTGCAATTTGAAATATACGCATTGTAGCTTCCACAAACTAATAATTGTACGTTATAAGACTCAGATATCTCCAGTTCTTTTAATGTTGTTTCAGTGCAAGGATTAGCGCTGAAGGGAGCACTCATTTTTATCTGTTTTTTTTTAAATAATCAACTAGATACGTAAATAACAATAAGGGCATTGCGCACGTCTATTTTGGTTTCCAAACTTATTAAACTCGCTAGCAAACCCCTCAGCTGCCTGTAAACCGTATTAGGACTTTTGACGTCAAGGTAAATCTCATTTCTGGCGTGGTATAATGTGGGAAAGGTTCCTCATGGCATTCGCGTGCGTTGTGAATTTGAATATTTTCGTGTCATATATGGCGATATAATGCGATATGATTTGATGCATATCCCAGCCTAGTTTGACGTTTCCAAACCGATTATTGTGCATCCAATTAGATTATCAAGAATAGATATAATTTATTTTAACTGATATGCCAGCAATCCTCGCATTTACGATCTGGTTTGAGATATACTACCCTCGCGCATGAAACGAGCCAGATTTTTGAAAAAATTCAAACTATTCGAATTCGGGCGGCAATGTGTGGGTTAGTGTTTTAGAGCAACGATAAAAATGGCTAAATTTATCTCGAAGAAGGGGGTGACAAGTTAGATTAGCGGCCGATTTTTCGAAGACGTGCTGTGTAATCTTGATAGAAACTCTCTAAAATATGTAGCAACACCTTTGATGTTTCCGAAGGAAGCCCTCTGAGTAGTACTTTGCGGGTAGTCAAATAAAGTTTAATTTCAACTGTGGATTGTGAACATTTTCGCTAATTAAGGTCCGGTTGTGCAATTACTATATGTATAATAATAACTATGCATTTTAGCAACTAAATCGTAGTAAACTGCATTACTGCAAATGCTTGATTCTGATTGGCAAATTCTGTCGCTAAATATATAGTTACTTATTAACTTTATCCTTTTATACAACGCCCCCAAAATCGTATATTACCTAAAACCTGGGCCGTCGATAGAAGCTTAATTGGTGCGTGGATTAGCAAAGTGTATTTATTTTTTATTCATTTATTAAACGAATATTTTCAGTCTAAGTCGAGATTTAGGAAGGCATAAAAAACGCGAGCCGAACATCCCAAGTGCAAGGACGTGCATGCTATGCCTTCGTGGCAACCGATTTTAAGTCCACATCGGCGATTTTTTACTTCATGTATATTTAGTCATGCAGAGACGCTATATAGAACGATGCGAGGGCAGAAGGAGACAGGTTTTTGTGAAATGGCACTTCAGTAGCGGCTCATAGTAGAGGATGATTGCAAAACATCGTCTATTGAATTTCTTTTCATCGTGTTCTCTCTTTCCAAGATTCTACTTAATAATAAGATTTGTAATGTAATCCCATAAAAAAGGTATCTTTGCCCTCCTTGCTCCTGCCAGTAAAAGGCAAGGGGGCAGCTGCCACAGTTTCATCTGTTCATTAATATATACTGTTTTATCTGAAGAAGGCATCATGTAAACCAGCCTTTGGCCGTACTGATTTTACCTTCTTTAAATTAGCTTTATTATAGTTTGCACGGGTGAAGACGGTTATACATATATAAATAGATGTTCATTGTGATTTAATTGTATCCTACACGGTAAGCATTTAGTATTTGCCAAACACAATTAAAAATTTTCGGGTATGATATTGCTACATCCAACACGTTGACTAATCAAAAGCCGTGATATACTGTTGTATGATACGTTTGTTCAATTTTACCAAGGGAGTAGGCCTAGGTTGGTCTCTTGAAACTTTGTCGATATTGTTTGTGCAATTAGGGATATGATTAATAGTACTCGATCGTGATGTTTGATGTTTGCCAAAAATCACTCTATACTAATTGTCTATACTAATTTGCGCCCATTACACTATTTACTGATATAGACTCCAGTCGCACGATTTCCCAGTTTTGCCGCGGCGCCTTATGACGTCATGATCTCGGATCACCAGGTTGTGAATGACTTCCAAAACATCGATAACAACATTGTGTATATTATATGTGGAATAACAAATGCCTGATTAAATATATTCAAAAAATTTCTCGACCTTTCGACCTAAGAGACTTGGTGTGATACTATCCGTCTAATGACGAGGGCCTTTTGCAGGTCGCACCATCGAGGCCTTCTTGTAATTTTGTCCATTCATAGATAGACGCCACATATGGTCCATTTAAGACAGTTGTTTTGTAAGAATTTGATCGAAGACGTTGCCACATTGCTCCGGTTTGGTTATATTGGAACGTATGATATTATTAGTCTAGTATCAATCTAAATTATCTAATATTATTAGTCTTTCCCTAATTTCCTCTTTCTATTTTATCATTAAGTTAACAATTTTGTTTAATGGTGTTCTAACAAGCGATCTAGAGTAGGTAGAGAGAGAGGGCATTGTTAGAACAGTTATATAAATTGGTTTAAGGTATATTAACGGCGTGGCAAACAGATTGAGATTTCAGAACGTCTTAAAAGTTTACATTTTTATAAGCGAAAATATTTTGCGGAATGTAGTGGATGTAGCCTCTATTCATTAATCCATATGCTTTCATATCATCATTACATAGAAGGCGAACTTGCTAAACATGGAGGAATTTGAACTATGAAGCCATTCATATTCGCTATTTCCAGTCCTCCTGTATGCGCGGTCAACTAAAATATTAATTTACGAATAATTTTTCTAAAAAGAAAAATTTCAATGCAAACTTGCTGATGTTTTGTAAAGAAAGTGATAGCAGCCGACAATTTTGAAAGCTTAAGTATAGCATAAAGTACAATTACAAGGATAGCATGTTGAAACCCAAATATGATTGTGGTATTTCGATTTGATTGCGAAACCATCATCAGACAGACGACTAAAGTGTCTAAAGTTGCAATATAATTAAACATTTCAGGCTGACCCCACTTATTAAATCAATGATTAATGTACTTACTGAGTAAAATACACCATAATGAACTTCATCAATGTAAAAAACTTAAAACCCTTTGCCGACATTTTATTCTTATGATTGTGAGTAAATTCTTACTCTTTCTGATATTATTCGCGAAAGCATCAATGATCTGCCATTCAATTGGCCTATTTGTACGATGATTAAGATGATTCGAAGATGATTAATATTTCTTGAAAAGTGATTGTTTTAGTTAGTAAATTTTTAAATTCAACCTATGAATTCATTTTTTGGTTTTGTTTTCTTGTTTGTCATTATCAGTTTACCATTTTGCCAAGTTATTATATATCAACTTATTCTTGGCTTTTTTTACGGAATAGATATTTCAGTGGGGTAAATCGAGGCACAGTAGTTTCAGTTAGCTGTGCACTGTATATTCTCGATGTATCGAACGTAATGAAAATAGACGTACGGTCTTACTGGTCTTATATACCATTATAAGAACATGATCAAATAAAGTAATAACAAAGGAATTTGTCAAAAGAGTCTTGTTTATATACCACAATGTACGGTAGTGAATAAGGCAATGTAGAGATGTCCTCGAAGTAAAGGAATAACTTGTTGATAAGATATTTTCTTGATGCTTTCAAAAACAATTTATGACTGCATTGTTATCACACTCTTGGGTCAAAATCCTTTGTAATATACGTCATTTGGTGATTTTGGTCATAGCAGGCGAAAATAAGATATACCTTATATACGCCCTGGTCATAGTTAATATAAGACCGTATAGTTTGTCTGTCTGATGATGATTTTGTACTGAAAGAATCGACTGAAATATCATGAACACATTTTCGCCTTCAGTTTGGGTTTCGAGATGTTAATCTTCGGATTATGCTTTGCATACTGATATTATGTCTTCTGTTTTTTTAGTGAGGTTCTTTCAAATTTAGTTGAACTACTGCATTATATGTCAAAATAAAGTTCTCACTTTTCGTAAAATGGTTAAATATTTAGATGCGATATGTTGAAATAGCTGGAGTTTTTTAAGGGACCTATGATCCTAATCTCCTATCCCTTGCTCTAGTCCCACGGTTTATCTTAAAAATAGACCAACGCACTCACGCAGTCACGTACGTTTTCGAGTTTGTTGAATTTTTTTTCCACAGCCGCATCATAGACAGCCCAGGATGCATGTGAAAATTATGTATGCATGTTATAATTCTCGCATGCTTCCTGGGCAGCCTATGCAACCGCATACAGACTCCCGAAACTCCCGAAACCCAAGCACTTTTAATTTATGCGAGCACTTTACCCTGGTGGAGCTTCGCCCGGTGTGCCGAGTGGTACAAATCCCCTGTATAATATATTTCTACATAGTGGTGTAGTGCTGTAATTTCATATCTATAAATATTTTAATACATAAACCTTGGCACAGCAGAAAACACGATGATGAGGACTTCTGGTTGCATTGATTGGTAATTGGCATGTGGCGAAGAATGAAGACTATTCTAATTGTGACGGTGGAATTCTATTAAAATACTGGAATTTGCTCAGAAAATGCTAGATCGATCAATATTGGGCATACCATATTGGTCAATGATTAGTTTTACTTTGTTTCATTTGTGATTGCGCGATCGATCTGGTCGCGATCTTCAATATGGGCAAGGCGAAATGTAGGAAATTTATGTTATTTGGGTTTAACATTGCATTTTTGGTAAGCCTATTATATATTATGTGTGTATGTACTGTTTGTGAACGGCTTAAGAAAGTAGGGGATTGGCAATTCAAGGATGTTTGCGGGTTTTTAAAATGTGCAATTGTGGTCTTCATAATAAAGAGCATATACGGCGACAATCCATCTGACATAAATAATGTATGTAAAGTAAACATAAATAGACTTGTGTCGGTAGTCGTGTGTAATTGATACTAAAGTGGCTGAGTTCAAATTGTTTGTTTTTTACATGTTTTTTACATGTTTTTTCACAGGGAACAGTACAAATCTATGTACGTCCAACTGAACTTCTCTCATCCATGTGAACTGAAAATGCTTAATATAATTTTACTGCAATTAATTGAGATTTCAAGTGTCAAAATGGGTTAAAATGCCAAGCACTTCCTGCTCCACAAGGAAGTGATAGGCATTGGTAGTAATACACATATTACCATAGACATATTTACCCAACATTTGGTAGAATTTTATTCTATAGACATTGTCTGGCCACAATATTTTATATATTTTCTTGAACCTTAAATATCAGTCCACAATCTTCAACTAGTAGATTGATTATATAATCTTTCAGATGGATGTAATATGCCACAACCAGAGAATCATTTCTTCAAAGAAATAAGCCTGGTTTAACAAATATAGAAACATAAAAGTACTTTACCTGTTCGGCAAAGATATGAAACATGCACCGTTGATTCTGACAAATTTCCAAACTGGCTTTCTGCCCAGAAATTTTCATATCTTAATTTTCAGAACTGTAGAAATTGTGGTTCACATATTATTCACCAGATATTATATAGATATGTTCTAAAGTTTTTCTTAATTTCTAGGTGATTGGTGGATTGCTATTAGGCATTGGCATATATGCAAATGCACAGAAATCTGAGTACTATGAACGTTATCAAGAGTTCTATGACTTCATCAGTGATCCGACCATTGCAGTAATAACAGTTGCCTGCCTGACAATTGTTGTTTCAGGGATTGGTATGATTGGAGCTTTAAGAGATAACTTAAAGCTACTATATTTGGTGAGGATTTTATGTAAATGCATGCATAGCTAGAGCATAGCTGGGTTACAGTTTTCCATGGTTACTTATAGCTGAAGTAGCTTTAGTAAGGGTTTTTGAGTAATTAAGACTTTGGGTAGCCAGCAATCCACCATGATTCATAAATGAGATACTTTCAATATTGCCAGTTAGCATGTGATAGTTAGCTCAAATACAAAGTTGTTGGTAATACAACCTAAACTTATTCATGTTCATTACTTAGTTAGTCTTGTTCTTTTTTGTGTTTTTAGTATCTATTTTTTGTTGTCTTCATATTCACATTTCAACTAGTTGCTGGTGTGCTTGGGTTTATTTTCTGGACAGAGGTAACATATATATAGGTCCCTTATTTATATATTTTGTTATTAGGTTTTTGAATAAATCACAAGTTTTCATATGGATTGTTTAATGTAAACAACTGGGTAAAGTTACTTAAATACAATGCTGAGCAAATGAAAAATTTCTTTTCTAATTTTAATCACCAAATCACTGATGGTATACAACCTTAACTACTTTAAAAACTTGTGGATGGCTTCACCATAATGATAAATTTCCAAAAGATGAGCATGGTCTCTAAACTACAGGTTACATGTTGAAACCAGCGAATGTTGAATTGCCCATCCACTTCAGCACTGCCTGTGACAGACAAAGCCCAGAGGGCATAATATTAGCACTATATAGTTACATTACATTTTTGTTTTTATACATAATACAGTATGTGTCATTGTAGGTACATATTTATATATCATAAGAATGAAGTCACAGTAATTATCTGTAATAATTGTTTACATAATTTGCATTGTGAATCATTTGATTTTAATATTAAAAAATACTTTTTAAATGTTTTAGGTCAAGGACTCTGTCAATACTGCATTTCTCCTAGCCATTATCAAATATAGAAGAGATCATGATTTAAAAAATGCTGTGGATGCTGTACAGTTGAACGTAAGCAAATTAGATTACACACCTAATCACTCTTCTTTTTCTTCTTATTAAATTTTCTTCAAAACTGTCAATGAATACTTGTTTAGGGATAAAAAGAATATTATGATATACATTGCGACTTAACTCTAGAGAAAATATGACTTTAGATGTGAATGTTGCAGTCTGACTTTCTGTTTAATTGTTTGCTTATCCAGTTATTTTATTAAGTCATTTATTTACGTAAGATAGTAGCAAACTCTGCAATGTCAATAAGTTTTAGTTTTGTTTTAATCAACTAAAACTAAAAGTAAAAACCTAATTATATTAATTGTGCTTGGCAGAATTAGTCAACTATAGCTTAATTATTACCAAGTCTAAATTCTAAAACAATTTTTTCAAAAACACTGTAACTATGGAGTATACTAAATATAATTGCTTGACTGTACGACTTAAACAGCAGCTAGAAACCCAGAACAAAACCAATGCAACTGACCAGAACTGCTCATACAAACTAATAATGTTTTCACCATGTATGTACTCAAAATTTAAAACTGGCAATGTGATGCTTTAATTTCAGTATCTTCCCGACATTAGCGTGAAAAAGGAAATTACCAAACCTCCCTCCCTCACCCTATCAGTTATTTTGACATGTACCATATTACGTTATTCACTTAGATTGGGGAAGGTCCAGAAAATTTTGATGCTAATAATTGTTAATTCAAACAGGAATTAGTTTTAATTAAGATTCATATCTCGAATGAGAGGAAAACTGGAGCTAAACCTAAATCAGCTCTAGAGTCTAAACCAAATACTTAACTCATTCAAACTTAGTGAAGGCCAAACTTAGTCTGTCAATACTGCATTTCTCGTGGCCATTATCATTTATCTTATGCCTAGTCCCCATTTAGATTTTAGTCGTAATTGTCGTGAACAAATAATTTTCACTGATGGCGATGAGAAATAGTCCGGATGTAAATTTGTTTTTATTTCTGCATTCAAATCGGTCGGATACCTTTTGTTGCTTTTTTTTTAGTTGGAATGCTGCGGTAGTACGTCCATAGACGACTGGGATCGCAACAATTACTTCCGTTGTGGTGCAAAAACTATTGAGGAATGTGGAGTACCTGTATCCTGTTGTAAAATTAAGGATAAGGTACTGTATACAGACAGTATATGATTAGGTTTATCATCAAGATTTGCAAAACTGATTCATTGCTATAAAATTTAAGTATATAGTTTGATAGTTTGTGCGTGTGCATCACACTGCTGAAACATAGCTATCGAGTCCAGTTCTTGATGTATATTTGTTTGGATATTTTGAAGTCAGTTTTGGTTTTGTTCGGTCATAGAAACTTGCAGCCGCCCGTCCCCCCCTTCAGTTAGGATTTCGTCCCCTCCTCTAAAAATCCCCTTTTTAAAAGACATTGACTAAAAATGTAAATTATGCTTCTGTTCAACAAAATGCATGAGCACTTTTGTGTTCTTTATGCCAACATTCGTTGAATGTAATCTCACAAATGTCATCTTTCTAGCACGAAAACATATTATTTGGCATATTATTTAGAAATCAGGCATCGTTGTATTTCAAAATTTTCCTCAGTAATACCTCCTTCTGCAATGAATTTAATTAGCTCAGTTAATCAGTGCAAAAAAGTTCCGCATCACGTCCATTGGGTAAATGTGAAGAAGGGGTATTTGTACTAATATTATAACACTATACTGAAGGTATGCACGTTAAATTGCGTGTATTACAACTTATTTTGTATCCATTTAGGTTTCTAAAATAAAAACTTTAGAGGTGCTCAAGAATTCCTCAGAACCAAATGTCGAGCATCTTAGTAATGTGAATCTACAATGTGGATACAAGACACGTAGTCAGCACGTACGTACAAATTTTATGCTCTAAATTAATTTTTGGCGGATTCATTTTCGTAGATCCATTCCCGTTGATTCGTCCCAATGCCATAATTATATAAATTCGATGGGAAGTTCCATTTTCTACTGCAACGAAGCGCAGTAGGAAGAAATTCCAATGCTAAAGGGATGTATTTTTAATCGAAAAACACTTGAATCTTTTTCACTATATCAAAGCTCGGTGTGCCTGTGCCGGACGTCACTCGCCAAAATTTAAGCCAATTAAATTTAGGTATGATTTTAATAATGTATCCGTTTACGTAAAGAAAAGTTTATCAGTTTGATTGAGTATACCTTTTTGAAGTTTTAAAAACCAAAAGAGCTATTAATGTTACATTGATCGAGTACATATCGTATAGACCATTTCAGCTTGCATGCAAATTAATTGCCTCATTTCAGATGTTGTGGCCATGGAATAGCCAATAAAGCATAACTATTTTAGACCATGTGATTTTGAAATGGGTTAATTTGAAATACCAGCTGAAAAGGTCCATTACATACATCGAGTTTTTCATAGAATTTTGACCGGAACATTGCGATTTCAATTTCATTACACATTTTCGAAACGTTGAAATTATCTGGTATAAGGTGGTATATATTTAAAGTCAGTTTACGAATTCCCTCAAATGTTGTATATAACAACTGCTAAAATAGAAAAATTCTTCTCGGCGGTTCTACCTGAAGGCCCACAGTAATTGGTTTTCACTGTTGTGGTGTCCCTGCCATTCTTGTCCTTGTTTTGTCCAGACGCCTGTTCGACGTCGTGTCATTTGTATTGACAAAGTTAAATAAATAAATAAATAAATAAATAAATAAATAAATAAATAAATAAATAAATAAATAAAGGCCTTCATCAGGAGAGTAAGTATGAAAGTAACTAGGGGAGAACACATTGTATGCAAGGGAAACAATTGATAAAAATAGACCAATAGGAACAAAAATCAAAACAAATTAGAATGACAGCACTTTGCTAAGGGCCAAAGGGACGCCTGATCGGGGGCTAAAAATAGCCAGCAAACAAGGACGCCTTGGATTGCCATATTTTTAGGCCCCTCTTGGGAAATGTAATGGTTTAAGCAGTTGTCACACCAGCCAGTTGTTTTAAGATGCTGACACAGGTCCCTGGTTATATTGTATTTACAAATGTTAACATTTTATCACACTGTTTGTCTGTTTGGATGAAGGTTGAAACCGTAACATTTGATAGATGGATAAGTCCTTTTAAATAACTGTTTTATGACATGTTGAGACTTGAGACAATTCAAGGAAACTATATAGCAAAGTCGACCTGGCTGTTTTGTTCAAACTTGTGTATTTCATAGCTACCATATACGTAGATGCACATGGTAGCTATATTACCTATATATACCAAATTTTAAAATAGACCTTCCTCAAATTATCAGTAAAAGTTGGTTACTTCGAGTTGTGCTTTTGAAACGCTTTAGGTATTTTCACAAGAGCATTTTCTCAGAGTTATTACTTATTGCAACCCGCATTTTTTCTATAGCGGCTGACATACCGTGATGAGATTCACACACGTGGTTGTCTGGATGCTTTGGTGTTATGGCTGTATGATAACATGTTGCTTGTTGCTGGCTTGGTTACCGCGTCTGTTATACCTGAGGTAATTCATATCTTCTTTATAAAGCAGTTTATAGAAGTGATAGGATTCTGGAAAAAGCAGTCTTATAAAGACATAGCTATGCTGGGGTCATTAGAGGAACACCCCATTGGTTACCATGGGTAATAATTTTTTAACTGATATAACTATATATCAAACTGGTATCAATGGAAATTGCACATATTATTGAGCTGATCGAATTGAGATCGAGATTGAATTGAGATCGAGATTGGATTAAGATCGAGACTGGATGAAAATCGAGATTGAACTAAGATCGAGATTGAATTAAGATCGAGATTGAATTAAGATCGAGATTAAATTGAGATCGTTTTTCACCATCTCTTTAATTGTGGGGAAATTTTTACTCAGTATGTAATAAAAAAATACGTTCATCGCAATCTTAAGGAACTATAGCCTTTAAGATGTCAAGTATGTTTTCTGCTAGTTAGTATATAGTTTATAGTACATGTCCTTCCTAATAAGCTATGAATCTGATTGACCGGAGTAATAGCTATAGGCATATACTATAATCCTGTATAAAAGCATGGTAAAGTTGGGATGTGTTTCCTAGTGTTACCAGAAGTAACACTATTGACCTAATATAGAAATCCTCTAAGACTGATAATTTCATTTTAGTGTAGTAACCTAGTTTTCGAAACATCGTGAACTTCGTAATGTACGCTATACCATGGTCATTCGGGGCTAGAAATATATATGCAGTGATGGGGAAAGTTTATTTTTAAACGAACAATGTGAACTCTGTCGGTATAATTAAGGGGACAGCATGAACATGTCACTGACTATAGGTCGCTATCGACCGATCTATTATCATGCATCAATTTTCTATGATTTTATTAAAAGCATGCATGCAGAAATAAAAGATTTAGGGCAATCGCTTGACAAAATTAAGCCCCATCACCTTTCTTGTAGATACTGCACGTATTTTCATAGGCAGTGGCCAGAATTATGAAGGCATTCGTTTATTTTGGTCCGGCATACTTTTAAAAATTTAAAGAGCACTTAAGGTGATGATCTAAATTTACCGGTATTTGCACATGTCCTTCCTAATAAGCCATGAATCTGATTGACCGAAGTAATAGCTATAGGCATATATACCATAATTCTGTATAAATGTATGGTAAAGTTGGGATATGTTTCCTAGTGTTACCTGAAATAACACTATTAACCTAATATGGAAATCCTTTAAGACTGATAATTTTATTTTATATATGCTCTTAAACAAAAGAGGGTTAGGCCTATTTTCGTAGAATAATGATTCGTTATGATGCGTGGGACATTTTGTTTAGGCCAACCATTTGAGGTTAATTAGACTACTAAAGTAAAAAAGACCGAATTGACAAGACAACTTGAGAGTCAATATATGATTCAAGAAAGACCTTTATTTTTTAATTTACATCATTCTTTGAATTGTCGGCTGCATGGTCATGGTTTTTGAGATGACCTAAATTTGCAAGTATTACACCGAATTGTTACACCGTGAATCAAAAAATAGTCAACAATGAAATAAGAGCAATGCAAAAAGAGTAAATACAGGCAAGAAAAGAAAACACGAAAACTCCTTTTGAAAATACTGATAATCATTCATACATGCACGATTTTTCACTAATCTATATCATGCTGGGCTATAATATATAGCTAGCCTCATAGGTTCAACAGGTAAACAAAACACCTGCATGCATGCTTCGGTTTTTCTAAATTGTATTTTATCTGATCTGTTGCTATTTTATGATGGGAAGCTAAAACGTATTCTTTAAAATGGCATGGAAATGCTGTAATATGTATTTGCGGTATACATGCATGCATGTATAGCGTTTGCGAGCATGCACAGCATTTTAAAGCACCTCTATGCGATAGTGCATGATGTTTATAGTGGCGTAGTAACCTAGTTTTCGAAATATCGTGAACTTCGTAATGTACGCTGTACCATGCATGTCATTCAGGGCTAGAAATATATATGCAGTGATGGAGAAAGTTTATTTTTAAACGAACAATGTGAACTCTGTCGGTATAATTAAGGGGACAGCATGAACATGTCATTGACAATAGGTCGCTATCGATCGATCTATTATCATGCATCAATTTTCTATGATTTTATTAAAAGCATGCATGCATACAAAAAATTAAAGATATTGGGCAATCGCTTGACATTTAAGCCCCGTCACCTTTCTTGTAGATACTGCACGTATCTTTATAGGCAGTGGCCAGCCGAGTTACTGAAATTTTAACCATGCAAGTTAACTAACGGTGGCAAAGTAATTATGAAGTCATTCATTTATTTTGGTCCTGCATGCTTTTAAAAATTTAAGGAGCACTTAAGGTGATGACCTAAAATTACCGGTATTTGTACATGTCCTTCCTAATAAGCTATGAATCTGATCTACCGAAGTAATAGCTATAGGCATACAGTATACCATGCATAATTCTGTATAAATGTATGGTAAAGTTGGGATATATGTTTCCTAGTGTTACCTGAAATAACACTATTAACCTAATATGGAAATCTTCTAAGACTGATAATTTTATTTTATATATGCTCTTAAACAAAAGAGGGTTAGACCTATTTTCGTAGAATTATGATTCGTTATACAGGTAAACGAACTGTTACACCGTGAATAAAAAATTAGTTGACGATGGAATAAGAGCAATGCAAAAGGAGTATATAGAGGCAACAAAAGAAAACACGAAAACTCCTTTTGAAAATACCGATAATCATTCATACATGCACGATTTTTCACTAATCTGTGTCATACTCGGCTATATATATATAGCTAGCCTTATAGGTTCTACAGGTGAACAAAACACCTGCATGCATGCTTGGGTTTTTCTAAATTGTATTTTATCTGATGTGTTGCTATTTTAATATGCATGGAAGCTAAAACGGATTCGTTAAATTTCCAGAAGTAAAGTTGGTCGCAATGGCATGGAAATGCTATAATATATATTTGCGGCATACGTGCATGTATAGCGTTTGCCTGCATGCACAGCATTTTAAAGCACCTCTATGCGAGAGTCATGTTTATAGTGACGTATAGTAACCTAGTTTTCAAAACATCGTGAACTTCATACATTGTACTATACGCCTTACCAAGGTCATTCAGGGCTAGAATTATATATATGCAGTGATGGAGTGATCGGTGATTAAGGGGACAGCATGAACATGTCATTGACTAAAGGTCGATATCGATCGATCTATTATTATGCATCAATTTTCTATGATTTTATTAAAAGCATGCATGCAGAAATTAAAGATATTGGGCAATCGCTTGACATCTAAGCCCCGTCACCTTTCTTGTAGACACTGCATGCACGTATCTTTATAGGCAGTGGCCAGCCGAGCTACTGAAATTTTAACCATGCAAGTTAACTAACGGCGGCAAAGTAATTATAAAGGCATTCATTTATTTTGGTCCTGCTGCATACTTTTAAAAATTTAAGGAGCACTTAAGGTGATGACCTAAAATTACCGGTATTTGTTTAACTCCTTTCGAAGTTTTCTAGCCGCAAAAGATAACTCTGCACCCTAATTGTTAACAGATGTCCACGTTATTTCTATAGCGGAAGGAATTCAATCGAAAATGCTTGTCATTGTTATACGTTTCGAGTTAATCTTACTTATCCTCGGCATCTGACTGCAAAAACTCTAATATAGCTTTTCTCGGGGCTAGGGTACTTTTTTCTTGTTTTTTTGTCTTTTACGAAAACCTCTCTTATAATAGCAGTGGATATTTTTCGTGACATGTCTACATTTGCAGTTTTATCGGGTGGAATGAATATTAAACAACACAAATATATTTCTTCTTCAATCAATACTTGCAGTCTGCTATAGCAGTTTCTATAAGTAAAAATGAGGGAGTGTTTTCTCAAAGAGTGTTTTCTCACTAAGATTTTTTCCTCTAAAAAAAGAAGTGACTATTTGCAAGTTATGTAAGTAGCCTCATTAGTTTAGCCAATATACGGAAAGGTGATTACTGGTCCAGTATTTGGCCGTAAATCAAATTATTTTTTCATATATAATTGACGTCTATAATTTGGACTTCCTGCATGTGTAATATAGTAGCTTATAGAACTGATGAGAGACTTCCACTTTCAGATATGTGGAGCTTGCCTCACATTTTTTTACGTTGCACATATCAAGCGAGCTAGAAAGGAATGGGTGGATGGTACTCGCCGCTCGCACTTATTCGAAAGAGAAGCTATAACGGACTTTTAGGAAACAAACGACCTTCACAGTCACAATACTGCATGTCTATTGGATGTCTTTGGTGATCCTCATAAAGTGTGACGTAAATAGTATTCCTGTTGATCTGCTTCGTAGAACAGCGTTCGTGAGCAGTGGCTTAAAACCCGTTTTCCACTACGCAAATTTGTTCGCCTGACGCGAAGCGAAATCCGAAATCCAATAGCGTGATTGGTCAGCAAAAAAAATCATTGCAAAAAGCCCTTCCCCTAGCCAATCACTTTGCAGAATATGTAGTTCGCGCGTGGAAACATATTCGTCTAGTGGAAAACGGGCTTTAGAGTCATTAATATACAGAAATTTGTGGCTCAATCGTTTTCTTGATCACTGACCTCTATATACATTAATGTTCCATACAGCTTAACACGATTTCTTTTCTATTTTCAAATTCCTGCATGTAAGGCGACTGGCACAAGCCTGTTCGTGAATCACATTTCCAGGTTGACTTACGAACCGGGGTAAACATTTTCAAAAATATTTTATGAACTGGATGATGAAATATTAAAAGAATCAGGGTTTATATAGGGAATAATATATATGATGCGCGGAAATATGAAATCTATTTCGAGTGTTGAGAATGGTATCGAACGAGTGAGCGCAGCGAACGAGTGAGATATCTTTCTCAACACGAGAAATAAATTCCATATTTCCAAGCATCCATGTATTATTCTGTTGATTATGAAATAAAAAAGTTTTAGTTTTTTGAAAAGTTTTTCATCCCCCTTCCTGATTCCAGATCGGTGGATCAAACACGATAATCGCACATGTGTTCTTTTCGCTTTTCAAAATGGAGGATTCGACAATAAAACACTGCATATTATATAATAAAGTAATATAACGCATGTAGAACGTAGGTAGAATTCTACAATTTACTGCATGCATACATGAAGGAACATATATAAAATATTTTATTTAAATTTATGTACAAACGTACTCAAAACCATCGAATGTCGTATAGAGCGTTTGAATGTGTTTTACTCTACTCAGTTGATGGCGGGGAAATATTTTTAGTGCTCTACCATTATCGCTATATTATGTTGACCTAATTGCGCTCGTGATTGGTTAATCAAATAGACTTATGACGTTTAATTTGTCCATATTCCCTCGAAGGCAGTGCTAACGGGAATCGAACCTGAATCTCCTGAATATGGGAAGCAGACTTGATTAGTTATCCACTCGTAGTTTTGAGTGACTCGTAAATCTTTGTAAATTCGTAGAACTTCAGTTGCGATTTTCTGCAAATGCAAGCGTTTTCCTGTTTTCCTTACCTGCATGTTATCATAACTAATCAGTAAATGTTCATTATGTTTGAAACAAACATGCATTTGACGTCATTTACTAATTAACAATGATTGAATGAGGTTGAACATGATATGAAGATTTATCAAGCCGAAGTTTGTAGTTATCAACCGAAGCAGAATTCTTGCAGTTTGAATTGTTTGCTTGAATTTGTGTCGATTTCACATTCCCGCTCCTTTAGGACGTCGATGTCTTCGCCATTGGTGTGACGTCAAACGTGGGATACGAGTATTTATAATATAACATTATAATATAACGCGCGTACGTGCTGATTGGTCGAGAAGCGTGTTTCTATAACTGTATAAAAACACGGAAAATGTTTTCTATTTTTTAATTATCACACGTTAAAAAGTCGTATCACACGTTATGACGTCACACGTTGGACATGACGATGCATGCTTTAGAAGACATTCACAAAATTGGTTTTCAGTGGAAAGGTTCAGATTAAAAACAGCCATACTGTCTCGCCACATCTTATTAGGACGCTTGACAAAAACAAAAGAATTGCATGTTGTCCGCAAAAAAATTATACTATTTTAGTTTTTGCTTTAAAGATATAGCTGTATGGTTATTATTTGATATTTCAAATGGTTTGTTAACCAATCACAATCCGGGAGCTTGGAGTAAACTACGATTTTGCTGCGAAACAATGCTTGAAAAGAGTGTTATATACATATGGTAAAGTTTGAACTTGTTGTTAACAAAGCTTCGCGGAATATTCCAAACACTGCAGTGACAAAAGATTACGTTTTAATCGTAAATTGTGTGCCAAAAGTTGCTACGAATAACCACCCACCCCATTATTTTGGAGAATTTTTCATGTGATTTTCATCTAAAGAACTTGGAAGACTTTCAAGATTCTCCAATAATTTTTTGCTTCGACTTCAAAAAACCGTTAAAAATGCTTATCATTTCGATTTACGGTTTATTCACATATTTTATTTGATCTTGAACTACTATTTTATAGGACATCAAATAAAATCTACACTATATACATGCAATCCACTTCTGAATTTATTCCGTACTAGTGCTTGTATTACTGCTTTTTCTCGAAGCTGACTCCTTTCTTAAAAGTTCTCCGTTGTGTTCATAATACGCGGACGAGGTATTTATACATAGTTCCTTTTTCAAAGCATTCTCGTATCGTTTTATCTGCTTCAAAAGACCGGCTAAAACTGCCTTGCTTTCGTCCAGTTCTTCCCTTACGGCATTGTTTGCGTTTCGTAGCGTTTCGTTTTCCGCCTCAACCTGCGTGTTTCGTGCTTGTAAACACACGATCGTTTTTTCCAGGTTCGCGTTCTCAAGTTTTAATAGTTTTACAGCCAACTCTGGCTTTGTGCTAGCTTGGGCAAAAAGAGCTTCAACGCCCTCTATCGTCTTCGCCAAGGAATCCATTTGTATTCGAGTCTGTCGAAAAAAAGTAGAAAAGAGATTTTTTCAATGAGATTGTTGTATACACCTGCACTTCAAAAGTACAGCTTTTAAGCTTTTGTTCATAAACAAGTTCCAGAACGTTACATCGAAATTTCTAGCACGCATGCAGTATGCATACATTGATGTTATCCCGCTTGTTTTAACCATGCACCGGTGATAAACTCCACGGTAGATTCATGGTTGTCATAGCAACCGTCATTTGGTCTTATACATCATGCATAGCAGACGCCCTATCCAACGGTTTTGACGTGGACCATTTCAGATGCGTAGACATTTCTAGATGTGTTATCTCCGCAATTCATTATCACAATGATGAGGAATTCCTAATTATTTTTCAATTTCCATAATTACCATTTATGATGGCTTATTATTATTTCGACAATAATGCGTCTTCGGAACGGCCTCTCACCTCCTGACACCAGGGGTTTAATATACCTGCTCCGAACTCACGACAACCATGCAAGAAAACGAATTCGTTTCTCTCACCCGAAACTATAGCACTTCATTTTTCGTTAATTTTCTTTTCAGGATGTTTAAACAAACGCCAACGATCGCACATCCGTTTAACGCTTTGTTTACACATTCACGCCAAAACATACAAGCGAATGCAATAAATCAAAATATTTTTGTTCCTGTTTGACCACCCAGCTAATTCGCATGACGGCAATTATAGATCATAACTACTTCAAGATGGTTCCCTTCGATGCGAAATGATTAATGATTAACTTTCAGTGAAGATAAGGTGCAATGGAGGAACGACAGGATGTATATAGTTGCCAATGTTATAACGAAAAGCTCGTTCTCGGATTTTCACAATACAAATTTGGTAAATTATAGAAGAAGTCTAGCAGGAATACACAAACGCTCATGTATAATCAAAGTAAACTTCCGCATTTTTGTCGTACTGAGCCCGAGTGGCACCTATATCGTCGTAAATAGACTAATAAAATGACCATTTACATGCAGCGCCTTTTAATATTGATGACAGAGTTACTTTGGGACATCTTATCCTGTATACTTTTAAAGAAAATAAACGTAAATGGCATGCAATACGCCAGTATTTCACGTGCAAGGATATAACTCTAGACCATATATATACGACCTGCCCCCTTGACCATACATTACCTCATTTTTACGATATTGATTCATCGCATTAAAATTTCACCTCAGTCTCGTGTGAGATTAGATGCAAACACAGAAAATGGCTTTTTATAAGTGAACCTCTCTCATAGATGATGAACAATAGCAAAAAACTAATGTCTTACATTATAAACTTATATTGCCAACTATATAGATTTAATTCTTCGTACGTTTATATGAAGAAAGTATATCCAAACATACACGACTACATAATTTACCTTATGGACTTGCTTTCTATCAGTCCTAGCTATAAACCAATTCTATAATCAATCCTTTATTTGCTCGATAGCGCAGTATCTGCTGGCGGAAACTATATAGATTACCTTTAGAAACCTGTGGTGTTTGCTAGACTCAATCTGCAGGAATCTCACACGAGGCGACTAAGGGGAAATTTTCTCAAATTGGACAACTACGCATGCTGTAGGAACGTCTAGCTATGAGAGAGTACACAACAGCAATGTTTAGCAAAAAAGCTTACCTTGTTAAAGTTACAATCCTGCTGTTAACTTGGAATCATGCACTTTGTAAATACTTAACCCTGTGTTGATCTCCAAGCTTTTGTATACGTTTGTTACACCTTGTATATACGACAAGTTCTTTGTTTTAAGGCGACCTCGATGGCTCAATTAATATATTTCGTCTCAGATCCAACCGCATGTATTCAAATTAGCTTTGTTATTCTACAGAAAAGCAAACAAAAAATAATACAACACCGCAGTTGGACACCTAACGTCAACTGTGCCCGTATGACCTTGGGGTTTGAACAAAAATAAGTGTTTTTATTTCTGTGTGTCTATTTTTACCCCGAAAAAAAGATGATGGACATTTATATATACATGCAACCAGACTCGACTCCTCAGCACTTGACGTACGCGTATCTGAAATATTCCGCTTGTATACAAATCCATAGTTTTATCGACGAAAAGTTTTTCCACCTCTTGTTCGAGGGAACATGCAATGTGCCCAGCTCCAAACAGTGGGTTTCAACATTGCTGTTGCGCAAGATTTCATTTTGTAATTTGTGGTTTCCATTCAAATTGTTCTGCCGAAAGCATGACATGATTAGTTGAAATTTTTATCTTCAAATATTTTTTGATAAAACTAAAAGGTTTGCTGTCCGATAAACATATTACCTGCATACCATTCGTTGTATAGGATTGATAGTGTTGCATGTTTTAAACAAACCAGGGTATTTTTTTCTTGTCAACTACGTGAGTATGGTTCGCTTCTCTGCTTCAGCGAAATTAACCGTACAGATTTGCTAGTTCGAACACAATGTTGCAAATCGAGGTTAACCATGCAGACAGAATTAATATGAATTCATTTGTAATAGATATTGACTTAGTATTCAATCAGAATAAATAGGTCTGTGGAATGTCAGTTGGTCAGTTTTGATATACTAAATCTTCTGCCAACATAAACATCTCTTCAAAGGGTCGATGTGGTCCCCTAAATGTATATTTGCAACCACATATGAACAAGAAAGTGATTAGGGAGAAAGAATAAGGGGGTCTAAAGACTCAGCCAACTCCATGCATTCATCAATTGCAAAAGCATTGTCGATTCAGTTTATACATGTCTAAAAATAGCCTAAGGTTCACATGAGATGTAACGAATGGCAGAAATGATTCTTTAATTCGCTGTTGGAGTTCGATACAATGTTAAAAATTGAGTGCATTTAAGGAATTTGTGATGCAATGATTATATTTGTTATAAATCGACTAAAGCTTCACGTATGCAAGACTGTTAATTAATAGTTAACTCCATATGCAAATCCCTACGAAAAGGAAGGTTACCGTATTATACATTTATCCTCTAAATACCGGATTTCTGTGCTCAAAAGTATGTATCGCTGTTATTTGCTCAGTCTGATGGCAATTTTTTTACTACCATCTGCTGCACGATGCAAGGAAAGATTAGAAGGAAACCTAGATATCTGTGTGTGTTTGGAATCTAATCTTCAGAGGCTCTGTGACAAACGAGTGTCATCATTGAGATTACGTAATGGGAATTCCAGTTATTTTGGAAACCGTCCACTGATCTCTAACACTTTTTTTAGCCGACTGAATAGAACGTTGAATTATTGAACGACAAATTCGCTGATTGTTTTCGAAATAAGTTGCATTCTCTTTGCCTGCCAAAAACGTTATATTACCCAAAAGAAAAATTGTGTGACAGAATGACGAAAAAGGTTCAAGAGGCAATCTTCAAAGCCAGATTAATTGTCATTAGTTTTTAAAAAAGTTGTTCAATTCATATCAAAACTATGCAAACTCCCCTTAAGTTTTGTGTCATTTGTGTCATTCTGATCATAGACTTGTTATCATTAACTAT